ACCCTAAACCCTAGGGTTGAGGGTTTAGGGTTTAAGGCCCCTAGGCCCGATTATAAACCCTAAACCCTAGGGTTAAGGCTTTAGGGTTTAGTGTTTCTCAAACCTAGGATCTCGGATCGTGGGGTGTAAGCGGTTTAGGGTCTAGGGATTAAAGGCTACTGGGCGCATTAGGTTTAGACTACACATGGCTTCTAGGACTCAAGGCGAAATCTGACTCTGTTGTCGCAGTCCTCCGAGTGTCAGACTGATGCCGTTTTGGGTTGAGTGTCTTCTCGGCCGAATGTAGCACTTGTCCCGAAGCGTTCAATTGCCGATATTGTAGGCTTTTGGGCCACTTGGAGGCCCAGGGGACTTAGTAAGTCGGTTCTAAGTAGGATTATGATTAGCGTAACTCCATTTAGGGTACATATAACTCTACTTAGAACCTATTACTAAGTCTCCTGGGCCTCCAAGCATGGGTACCATAATGTGGTCTAAGGAACAGCAACATAGCATAGAGGTAGCCGGGCTCCTAGCATGTTTCCCGGCAAGGTTTGGAGCGAGTGTAGGAGATTAAAAGCGGTGTCAATGTATAGTATAGAACCCCAAACTTTCAAATCCTAAACCCTAAACCCTAAACCCTTGGTTTCTAGGTTGGCGTTTGAAAACCCTCTGAAGACACTCGTTCGAAGGTCCTGTTAGACCGATTTATGAAGGGAATGTACAGCAATGTGTCCCAAATGGCCTCCTGGTCCGAAATCTGACATGGAATCCGCAATCGTTCGTAAACTGGTAATATTCACCTGGGTGCTCATCATGGTATCCACCGCCCGGACGCTATTATTCTTCTTAAGTTTCTTCGAGTGAACGCTATGTTAGACCGCAGTATTATAAAACTAAGGTCCCTACAGCAACCCCTCGAGTAAGACCTGCAAAACCTATAACTCCTACAATCAGGCCCCGATCGCTCCTTCGAGGGAAAGACTGGCTCGACAGCCTTCCACGCCGCGCTTGGAAACCGACTCCTTGACATTGAGGCTTGTACTTGGAGGGTCGGGAGACTTAGTAAGTAGGTAATAAGTAGACTTAAAAAGAAGTACCCTAAAAGGGACCCTAATTGGGGTTATAGTACTTATAAGTCTATAAAATAACCACTTACTAAGTCCCCCGACCCTCCAAGTATTACATAAAGTTTAGGGTTCAGCGTCCAGGGTTCAGGCCTGAGGTTAGGGATAGGATTTAGTGATATAGTTTAGGGTGCAGGGTTAAGGGTTTAGGCCTGAGGTTAGGGCTAGGATTTAGTGATATAGTTTAGGGTGCAGGGTTAAGGGTTTAGGCCTGAGGTTAGGGATAGGATTCAGTGATTTAGTTTAGGGTGCAGGGTTAAGGGTTTAGGCTTAGGGTATATCAGGTTCTGGGGTTGAGGGCACCCTGCTTGCAGGTAGTTGAGATTCCAGGGTTTGACCTTCGAAGTCTACTGCCCCTAGGTTCCCCAGTAGACCCCTAACAATAAGGGCACCCTTTTCCCTATTCTTTGGGCTTAATAAGGGGCCCCAAAACAAAAAGGCCAAAAGGGTACTAGCGGGGAACCTAGGCCCACAAAGTAATTATCTTGACATTCGGTGCAGGAGAGCACGCATAACAAAGACATCACATACCTGTACATATGCACACTGCAAATAATGCACATACTTCCTTACACGACAAGCAGACTGCCATGAACCCGACCAGTGGCTATATGATAGATACCCAAGCAAACCGTAATGGCAGTTCTGCAGTTCTTGATACAGGAAACCCGTTTTTTCAACGAACACCAGGGATAGTCCGTATATGGGTAGCTCTCTAAATTAGGGTCCCTTTTTAGGTCCCCAATATCGTACGGCACCCTTATAAAAAGGACCCCCCAAAAAGGGACCCTAAGTTCGAGAACTACCCAT